GGGGGGGGGGGGTTCTGTTTGCCAGGGGCCTCCCGCACTTGCCTGAAAACAACTCACCGACGTCTCTGTGCATAGGAGAACAGCCGATGCTATTGTTGCATCCACTGTTGCAGGACTGGGCGCCAGCTTCCATTTGCCCGCATCTTTTGATTGGTTAGTGAGCTGGTGTGTGTGATCACACAGGGCCTATGATGCATTTAAACATCTAGATGATGTCACACACTTAGAAAAAATTTATCTTGTGTAACTCACAGTAACATCTACAAACACTTGTGCTTAAAACACTTGTTACTCTGGGGAGTAGCATTATTGTAATTTGGGGACGTGTCCCCTCAAATGTTCGAACATAATCATTATATTTCAAGAGTTTTGTTTTGTATGGCAATGATATGGAAAAGCAGCAAAGTGTACTTTGAGGAAACGTGGCTGCTGTGTTTGCTGTGATGTGGGCGTTTACATGCGCGTGTTTCTCATGGACTATTGTAATAACAAAAGCGCGATCGGCGCGTGGGCGTGGTCACATTAGCGATAATGAGGGCGACGGCCAAGACTTGACATCGCGTTGGTTTCATACTGATTACTTTGTCACATAATATTTGTTTTCGTCATGACTTACTTCGTTTAAAAGTAGACATGTTAGGAAAAGGCAGCAAAGGGGGCGAGGCCATGCTGCGCTGCTTTAGAGAATAGGAAGAGAAAACTAGAGGTGCACGTAAAAATCTATTCATATATGAATCGTGATTCTGTCTTCTAACGATTCTAATGGATTCACAAGTTTCAAAATCAATGTTCTAAAAAGCAGCAATTCTCAATACTGTTCCTCGCATTCCCCTGCTCTACACATGCTCTGCATCTCTCTCTCTCTCTCTCTCATTCAGCTCAGCTCCAACAATGAACTGTTCCAATTATACACTTATTTTCACATAGCTATGAGAAGCATTAAACATGGATGCGCGTGCAGTTGCCGTACTGTATTAAAGCTTTAATCAGGATAAAACCTTATATTAAAAGCTAACATAAGCAGTAGCATTTACAAATGACAGCATATCTAAAAGTATGAGACAACAACAACACAAAAAACATAGGCCTACTGTGCTTGCACAGGTTCTACACGATCCTCTTCAATAATATCCTCTGCTTCTCAATCGAACTGTTAAGCGATATTAACGACGATGTTGTTTACAATACAACCGGAGCACATGCCGCTGAGGTGAGGGGCGGGGCATTTAGATGCACACTAGAGGCGGTTTAGCCAATCACAACACAATGGGCTAGCTAACCAATCAGAGCCCATCGCCTATTTCTGAGGGAGGGGCTTCATAAATGCAGAAATGATCAGCGCGTTTCTCAGAGAAGGGACAGAGCGGTGTGGAATAAAGGTAAATTATGTGAAAAATAATGTTTAAAAAAAAATAAAAAAAAACATTAACACATGTTAGACTGCACCCCATAAACACAATCTAGCCTAGAAAAAAACCCAGTGAACCACCCCTTTAAAACTAGAGGCAGAGGCATTTGGCAGCCAGCAGACTGAATGAAAGCTCAAATAGTAAGTCCTAGTGTAAGTTTTAGTGATAAGTACAGTAGTGTTATGTAAGTGTTTTAATGACTCTCTTACAATTTATTTATTATAAACATGAAGTGTTATTGTGTACTTTTATCTGACTTGATACCCTCACTTATTTTTACAACTTTCTCTGTTTTACTGTGATCAACAAGCAGGGGGCATCCAAGAGAAGAGCTCACTCTATAGCCAGACTACCAAAGGCAGCTAAAAGGCTTTTGATGTGTGCAGTATTTACAATCTATACAACTTGTAAGCCCGTCAGCTCTTTCATGCATGATTCACAGTAATTTATTGCACAAAAACCATTATATATTCTAATTAGATGTGCAGTGAAGAGGATATGAAATGTTCTTGGCTGCATGACTTGACCTCAGATGACTCCAGTAAATGCTTGTCATAAGCACATGTTGAACATAAACACAGCCTGAAGCCTGTCAAGCCACTGAGGATAAAATTGTAACCAGAAGCTGAAGGAGGTTTGATCATTTTATTACAGTAAACAATATCCCACACTTATCCTGAATGTGTGGACAGGACATTCAAGCCTTATACAGAGTAATTATATAAACTCTTCCAGATCACAACACGTAAAAAAACAGAATTAAGTGCAAGCAAATGTGACCGTGAGAAAACAAAATACATGAAAGTGACCATTGCCCTACTGACCTGATTACCAAAAATGGAAAATTTGAATACAATAAGACCATCAACCTCAAAGTAAAGGTATGGCTATGAGAAAACCAGCACTTATAGACCAACATATCAGATATTTGGCACAGTTGGTCATTCCATGTAGTGTCAGTTCCAAAATGTAACTTGGTCAGTGAATTTTCTGATATTTTTAGTGAATCGAGTAAATACTGTATAAAATGTTTGTGCAATTCAATCCAGCCACTTTCTATACATCTTAATTGCTATATAGAAATTGTAATGTACAGTAAATATGGGCATAATATTGGCCACCCTGCCCTCTAGATATTGCAAAAAAGCAAAAACATAGTTTGATCACTTATACCTTCATACATGCTCCAGCCTTCATGATGCAAGGAAGCAAAATGCATAAAACAGACTAATGGGATGACTAACTTTAGTTTAGTATGATTTGGTTTTGTTTGGAGTTTACTCAGTCTTATACTGGTAATTAAGATTTCATGTGACCCTTTAAGACAGAAACACACTTGTAAACATGCATCTAAGTGCAGTTTATTGATACAGCCAGGTCAACACTACTGCCGAAAGTTTGAGCGATGTAGCTATATGACTGATGTTTCATTCCTGCTGAACAGTTTTACAAACCACTCATACCATGTAAAAAATCAAAAATAAAGAAAAACATTAATATAAAAAAAAATATATATATTATTTTACGTCACTTTGGTAACAAAACATTCAAGTTCCTGAGAGAGTCTAAGCACCCACACCCTTCAAATGTAGCCACTGAAGAAGACCCCTGGCTTGCATCCCTTGGGGTTGGTCCCTTGTTTACCTGAGAGAGGGTGAGGGGCGGAGCCTCAAGTGGGTAGGCTTTTCTGGGATTGGAGGTTTGTTGCCATGGGGCGGCGTTTGGGAGGGCGGAGACTCACTGGACACACTGAAGGTTTTCATGAGCTGAGCAACCCGTCCTCGTCCCAAACAGCTCTCCTCAACTACCTCAGACCCCACATCCACAGAAAACGCCCGTTTAGAGGCAGCGACCACTCGGAAATCACCTGCAAATGGAGAGAGAGAGAGAGAGTGCGATGAGACAAGGACTTATGACCTTCAAGGTCTGTTTTTATAGGTGACAACTTCAAAACATTCTTACACTTTTCCCTCACTAAATTTTTCGCTTCTTCTCTTCGCACTCTCTTCTATCCTTTTTTTTCCCCGCCCCGTTTCAGTGTCTCTGGCTCTTTTTTCCTGGGCTGCAGACTGCCAGACCGGAGGTCGTCGGCGCAGGAAGTAGAGCAGGGACGCAGCTGGGTGTAGTTGGTGTGTGTGTGTGTGTGTATGTGTACACGTTATGGGTGCGTAAGACTGTGCGTATGTGTGCGGTTATACTGTGTGTGTGTGTGTAATTGAGAGATGGAGGGATGGAAGATGAGGAGAGGAGGGCCGCAGGGATGGCGGCGGAGAGCAGACAGACGCTGCTCAGACACCAGAAGGCTTGAGGAGCTGCTTATTTTTAGCCACGTCCCCAGGGGACACAGATGTGTGAGTGCGTCCGCTCTCTTTCGCTCGCTCTCACAAACACATATACCCCTTCTCCTTTACACACACAAACTATGACACACATTTTACCCCCTCGCAAACTCTCTCACACGCATACTCACACACCCTGGTCAAAGACACGAACCCACATGTGGCTGTGTCAGTGGAAATGTCCCAGTACTGAATCACAAAACATCACCCTTAAAGGGGTCATATGATGCAATTTCAAGTTTTCCTTTCTCTTTGGAGTGTTACAAGCCGTTCGTGAATAGATAAGATCCCTAAAGTTGCAAAGACTAAAGTCTCAAACCCAAAGAGATATTCTTTATAAAAGTTAAGACTCGTCCACGCCCTCCTAAAATGCCTCGTTTAAACACGCCCCCACATGTCTAATAATAATAATAATAATAATAATAATAATAATAATAATAGTAGTAGTAGTAGTAGTAATGACGCATGCAAATCTCGATGGTCTAGAAAATTCTCTTCAAAAATATAAAAATAATAATTAATATTTTATCTAGATAATAATACAAATATAATATAGAAATAATGGTAATTTATAAAGCAAAAACCTGAAAAATATATATATAATAATAATTATATATATAATTTGTTTTTCCTTTTGGTTTTTGGGGGGTAAAATATGACCCACATGTGTTTGATGCATTTCTTATTTAAGTCACATGCTTCTCAAGTTCTGCCCCATCTTCTTCTTTCTGCCCTCCCCCCCTTCCTCTCTCTCTTTCTCGACCTTGTTTTTTCTTCTCTCTCTCATTAACCTATTACTTGGGTAAATCACATGAAAACAACCATTTGACAAAATAAATAAATAAAAACAAATTGTAAAAAATAAAGACGATACAACAAATATATTAATACATTTAAAACAATTATTTTAAAAGTACTAAGACTGCTTATTCATCAGGAAACTGTCTTAATGCAATCTCTTAAGGGTCCTAAAATAATTAAATAAATATTTTAAAATAAAAATAAAAATGATGTCTTCAAAATAATAATAATAATAATAATAGTAGTAGTAGTAGTAGTAGTAATGACGCATGCAAATCTCGATGGTCTAGAAAATTCTCTTCAAAAATATAAAAATAATAAGCGGCGTTTGCCGTTTTCCATCCTCCCATAACCTCTCCGAACCTGAGACGCTTTCACAGAGCTGTCAAACAAAAAAAAAAGCTGAAACCAAACTCTGTCCAGGCCGGCCAAAACTGCCCCCGCTGGCCTCGCCGTGCAATCACTTGTGACAAAGCCTGTAAGCACCTGATCGCAACGAAAACCGCTCTCTGTTTGCCCTGTCAATAACTGCCGGGCGTGTCTGTGAAAGCGAGAATGCATTCGACAGTATGTTTCCAATTTCACAGTCATCTTATGCAGACAGAACAGATGAGCCACAAAAGCATGCTATCTCTTTAAATGCCCCCACCTCTTAGAAGTGGGGCAGAGGGCAGAATTCCGGAGCGGCACGTCTGTGCGCTGAGCCAGGCCGCGGGGGGGTCACGGCTGCCAGGAGGAGGTGGGGAGGGGGCCCGAGCGGAGGCTGGGGGCCCTGTCACTTATCAGCTCCGGCCGAGCGTCGCCCAGGGCCAGAGTCGGGAAGCAGCGCTGGAATGTGTGTCCTTCCCTCTGAAGGTGAAGAGAAGGGAAGCACACACACACACACACACACACACACACGTGCATGCAGAGACGAAGCAAGCAGCTGTGGGAAGCTGTTGCTTTTACGCACATGCCAGGATGAACATACACGCTATTCGCACACATTCCTTTGACTTACACGCTCTTGATCCCACTACAAAGTTAAACGCTCACACAGATGAAACATTCCCATGTAGTTATCCACACATTCTACAGAGTTTTATTTTTACAAGCATTGAATTACAACAATATGTAGTCTGGATGATCTCTAGATCAAAAAGTGCTCGTTTAACCTTACCTGGCCTAGGTAATGTGAGGGCTTTGGGAGAGTTTATAGGTTGCATTTCATGTGTGTGTCCAGCAGGGGGCGTCGATAGAAACTACAGAAGTGTAATCCCTAATAACACACACTGGATGGCGTAATTTGAGCTTTTTGAGTGAGTCATAACATCTGTTGAGGTGATTCACACCACCAGGATAGTGTTTAGAACAAATGGTCATTAAAAACCACCCAGGAGATGATCAAGATATCGTTTTTAAAACGAACTAGAAGAGATTTCAAACAAATGAGCAGCCAAGGAAATCAGTCATAATATTTCAAAGACATTTGTTTCTGCCTTTAAACCTCTTTATTCCTGTTGTTAGAAAAAGACCTGCCAGATCATAAAGCTTCCAGTAACACGTCTTTTCAAAAAATCTCTATTATATTCTGAATTTCATTTTTATTTGTAAAAGGGCGATCTTGTGAAAGCTGACAAGAAATGTCGGACTCATATTTAACCCCAAAAAAGCAATTGCATTTAAAAAAAATAAATAAATAAAAATAAAAAAAGTGACCTAGTATGAAAATAAACCTTTACAATTAAGGGCAATTAATTCCCTCCAATTCTCATTACTGTAATGCATCATCCTGGCATTTCACTTGCACTGTTATTATTTTCCCATGATGATTCTCATTTCCTGTACTGTAAGGTAATGAAGACTGCATTACAGTAAAACAAGAGTTTTTATGAGGCTATATAGCACAATAATACTCTACAATTTATAAAAAAAGTACATTATATTTTGCATAAAAATGAGACCTAGTATGAAAATAAACCTTTAGAAGGACAATTAATTCCTCTTAATTCTGATTACTGTAATGCATCCTGACATTTCACTTATACTATTCTTATTATTTTCAATGATAATTCTCATTTACCATAAAATAAGACTTATTTATTTTTATTAAAAAGCATAATTAAAGGCTACATAGCACATTAATATTCTTCTCATATTATATAAATTGTTTTTTCATATTACATTAATGAAAATATAATTCTTATGGTAATAACAAAATGTGCTTTATTGTCATTATATTCTTTCAGCAAAATATAATATATTCATTGCCGTTTTATTTTATGGCCACTTATAAACCTCTCTCACAAACTGCATTAAAATGAAATCAAATGTCTTACTGTAAAAGTCATGGAAACCAGCATTACAGTGAATGTGATGCCAGTGTCAAATAAAACCATTCATGCTCAGATTAGCAAAGGAAAGATCAGCAAAAATTTTCCCTGACTAAGGAATTATACATACACACACACACACACACACACACACACACACACACAATTGGAATAGAATATATACACACACACACACACACTGGGAGTCTGGAAGGATTCATAAACAGCAGACTCTCACCTCTGTTGATCTGTGGTTTGGGGGTGTCTTGGGGGCGGAGTCTGGAGGTGTCAGGCAGCTGATTGGTCGTCCTGTCCTCCTTGTCTGTATGGCCAGGTCTGCTGAGAGCCGAGGGTGTCAAGAGGCAAGATCTCGAGTGGGCCCGATAGCAAATTGAGGACAAGAGTGCTGAGTCATCCTCCGAGTGTACTGACTCAGCCTCCTCTTTGGACTCCTGAGGCTGATGGGATACCTGCCATAGAAACAAATAAACCATTTATAAAAGAAGTACAAGTTGGACTGTATATCCAGCTTCGGTTTTAAACCGAGCACTATGTTACTGTCCTAAAACCTCCCATAGGGGAAAGGAAGAAAAAACCCACAGACGATATCTTGTTAATGTCTTGATTATTTCTTGTAGACTATACAAGATTAAATATAGAGCAAATGGGAACTTCAGCTAAAATCTCACACTTCTCAGATTTGTCTCCTGAGAAACTGACCACAGCTATTTCACATGTCTCCTATAATGTTTAAAAAGATCTCAGCAATGTTACAAACCGTGAGCAGAGATTTGACTATCAAGTCAAATATCAGATTCTTCCCAGACCAAATTACCTGGTGTATGATATTCACATCAAGTCAACAAGCATCTCATCCGTCTCATATTTGTCCTAAGGAATTTTAGGAGGAATATCTAAGACAAAGCTGATAATCCAGTGAGTTTTTCAGATCTCCTGGGCCATAACGGATTAAGCTCTGAACAATAACACTTTCTATTTTTTTTTTTATTTAAAAAATAAAATAGCCTAAAATAAAACACATTAGCCTAAGTGAAAACTAAAATAAACAGCCTAAAAAATTAAATAGCCTAAATTAGACTAAAATACAATATTGTAGCCTAAAAAGAACCTACAATAAAGCATCTTAAAAATAAATTAGCTTACAATAAAATACAGTAGCCTAAAAAAACAAAACATAAATAATAGCTTTGAAAATATATAGTAGCCTAAACATAACAAAGAATAAAATAGCTTAAAATAAAATTTAGTAGCCTAAAAATGACCTCAAATAAAACAGCCTAAAATAAATGAAAGTCTAAAATAAAATAGATCAGCCAATAAAATAATCTAAAATCAATAGTAGCCTTACTAACAGCTTATAATAAATAAATAACATTTTGCTGAAAAACAATACATAAAATAGCTTATAAATGAAATATGAAACAAAATGGCCTAATATAAAATTAAAAACAAAACAAAATACATCTGGAGCTGCCAAAGATAACAGATATTGCAAGCCTGGACTGTAAGAAGCACAGACTGTGTTTAGTGTTTACACACACACACACACGAGATGGAAGAGAAACGTGTGATGTGCAAGGACTTGCCCTGCCCAGGGGCTTGTGGATATTAAGGGATCAATTTGTGATGGAAAGAGAGAGAAATGAAAAAAAGAGGGAAAGAGAGGTCCCTGCCCAAACCCCAGGGGACAGTCCCACAATCCCATCCCATCTGTGACTGACAGGCGCGCCGTCTCGCCCGCTTTAATTCCCTGATCAACTTTATCAACCATCTGCTCTTGAAGAACTCAGGGACCCAAATCAGCCCCTGGGCTCTCAGGTCCTCCTGCAGAGCACACACAGCCTGACTGTCCTCATGCTCTCTGACACACAGGCCACACACTGAGAGCAATGCTCCATACCGTCCTTCAGCATTTCAGACGAGCTACAATATGTTTTATATATCTCAATCAATCAGGCTTACATATATACATCATGAGTTTTATTCTTCTGGGTGTGGGAATGATACAAAAATTGGGAGGGACACTAATTATCAGGTTGCTCATGAATAATAATTGCATGACATGTTCTGATTTGCTGCAAAGCAGACCAACTCGGAAAGAACTAGTTTTAGATTCATGCTTGCACACTCATCTAAAACAGTGTGTAAAGTGTGTGTTGTGTTCAGCTGTTGTGGGGTCAAGAGTCTGAGACAGGTGTGATCGGAGTGGCAGAGAGCGACAGCTGAGGGTAAAAGGATCTCAAGATGACAGCACAAGGACAGCTGCTCTGACCTCCGGCCCCCCTCCAACCCGGAGCAGAGTGCCAGAAGAGACCACCGACATTCTGGGGAGGACATTCCTTTGCACAGACACCATGTTTACACCGCAAGCAGATGACGCGACAAAATTAGAATGTGTTGGTGTCAGTGTAGACGAGACTACACTGTCGAATATATGCTGACCCATTTAATATTAACAGGTTTTTTTTTTTATAATTAATTTTTAACATCACAAATTACATTATTATTATTATCATCATCATTATTATTTATATAAAATGTATTCAATTAAATAAATGTATAACTAAATTAAATTAAATTAGTATATTCATAATTTCTTAATATTAGTGCATGAGTGCAGAATAAATATTTCTTACACATTTAAGAAAAACATTCACGGTTTTAAAATTAAAATAGTTTTAGTATTTCCAGAAAAAAAAGGCAGACAGGCAGACAGAAAGAAAGAAAGGACAGAGAATTCATAATATGCTGATCCGCTCTGTGGTAAACGGCAGTAATGTCAATGAACAGAGGCTGTTAGATAGCGGGACTTTCCAGCGGCCTGTAGCCTAAATAAGATCTCTGTGGTCATATAGCATATCACATGAGTCTGACGGGGCTGTGGTTGTGAAAAATTACTTGGAATTGTGAAGAGTTTCAATTCCCTGTACCAAAAACTTCTATACCTAATATATATATATATATATATAGAGAGAGAGAGAGAGAGAGAGAGAGAGAGAGAGAGACTTCAGATGCAAAACCTCTAAGTCAGTCTAAGATTTTTAAATGATTATTTTATCAGGCTCCTATGTTTAGGTTCAGATATTTCACTTTAACGGCAATGAAAAGGTTCTTAGTCAGTTACTGGAATGCCTTATTTTCAAAAATGTCCAATGTTATTTTTCATCACCGATATATTTATGAAAAAAAAGGTATGAAAACAGCTCTACTAAACTATACTTGTTCTAATACACATATGTGACCCTGGACCACAAAACCAGTCATAAAATAGATTATAGAACATATATTTACATCATCTGAATGCTGAATAAATAAGCTTTCCATTGATGTATGGTTTGTTAGGATAGGACAATATTTGGCTGAGATACAACTATTTGAAAATCTGGAATTATTGTATTGAAGTATTGAGAAAATCGCCTTTAAAGTTGTCCAAATGAAATTCTTAGTAAATGCATATTACTAATCAAAAATTAAGTTTTAATATATTTACAGTAGGAAATTTACAAAATATCTTCATGGAACATGATCTTTATTTAATATCCTAATGATTTTTGGCATAAAAGAAAAATCAATAATTTTGACCCATACGATGTATTTTTGGCTATTGCTACAAATATACCCCAGCGGCTTAAGACTTTTTTGTGGTCCAGGGTCACATATTAATCAAGGTACTTACATTTTCTAAAGGTGCTGATGGCTTTTCTTCATTTACAGGCATCTGCAGAATATTATGAGAAGACATTTACAAAATAGACTGCACTCATTTTAAAGTATTGTGTTGTGACAAAACATCACACTCATTGTTGAACATCATATCTGCTGCAATACCAAAACACACCTGTGGAGGCGCCAGAGTCCTTAACTCTTTGTCACTGTTGTCCTGTGAAAACAAAAAGACTTCAGACTGAGCAAAACTCTTCCACACTCCTATGTATCATTTTATCATAATAAAAGCTGATGCAATAATCATATTAGCCCATCTACTTTATGATCAGTTAAAAATCTGAAGGCGTTCAGATGTTTTTTTGTGACTCTTGTGCGGCTCTTCACTAATTGGCAACCATGAGCCACATGTGCCGATGTACAGGGACAGATGTTTGTTTAGCAAGTAGAGGATCATAGCGTGGTGATACTGGCCAGCACATCTCCTCCCAGGAGTGCGTTTGCTGTGCACGGTGTTGCCATGGAAACCCTAGTGCTAGCCCCCAACCCCCCCACCCACCTACCTTAGTATAACAGGAAAGAGAAGGTGGGGAGATCTCCACATATAGAGTGAAAACCTTTGACAGACCGTTTTAAAACACTTTGTTTCCGCGATCCTGACCAAGACACAGTAAAACTCACACACATTAATTAAAGATGACATCACAGCACTTGTGTCCTAACCTACAAGAAATTCTGTTGATCAAGTCTACATATTTCTACGGCATTGTGACGGGTGGCCCCGCCCACACTAAAATCTCATTGGTTTGAAATCCTGCTTTTCATAACAGTGCATTATATATCAAGTCAAATACGTTTTCATCACCTCAGACTGCTTCAAATTGCTTTTCACATGGTTGGAAAATTGTCGCATCATTCCTGTTAAGGACACGGTGTTACCGCATAAGTTGGACTGTCTGTCAGTTCAAAAATCGCACAGACGCCAACTGGCCACACACAGACAAACATATTAATACATGAGCAGAGAGATGGAGCCATAAAGAGCTGCGCAATGAAAGAGTTGTTGTGCCTGAGAGATGGAGGGGTGGGTGGGTGTGGGAGGTTTTTTTTGTTGAAAGGATGAAAAGGAATACTGGAGGAGAAGGGAATGAAAAAAGGAGGAAAGGGGAAAGGAAGGAGCAAAAAGAGGGAGAGATGGAGGTTGTGATTTATTTGGCTGTTGAACGATGATTCTCCCTGTGGAGAAAGTCCGTCTCGCTGCCCCTCGGCTGTGTCCGAGATTAATGGCGGCAACAGGAAGGTCACCTACACACACAGCCGCATGAATACACAGCGGCACCGATTTGAGAGTTGAGCAAATGTGGAAGTAAACAAACACACGCACGTGAGCAACACACCTTAAAGTTGAGCTGAACTCTTGAATGTACTTTAGGAGGAAGGTTTTCTCGCCCTGATCGTACAGGTTCTGCTGATGTTCGGTTTATCAAGTTGCTCTTCAAAGTGCTGGGCTGGTTGCTGAAATACATGACAAGACATGTGAAAACACAACACACAAATATACGCCCTTCACAGTCAAACACGTTTTCTTCATGACAGAATATATTTCAGATATTCATTACAGATGTGCTCATTAGTTTTATTCTGATATGTTTATACACCCTGAGAAATAAGAGAAATGAAAACATAAAAATTGTTAAATTACATACATTTATTTACACTACCGGGTCAGAAAAAACAAAAAAAAAAAACTTTGCTTCAGGAGGGATGCATTAAATTAATTAAAAGTGACGACAGACATATATAAAGTTGCAAAATATTTCAGTTATAATTAACACGGTTTTTTACAACTTTCCTGAAAAAGGAAAGTTTCTATAAAAATAAATAAAATAATAAATTATATGCAATGTTTCCCAAATCAGCATATTAGAATTATTTCTGAAGGATCATGTGATAATGAAGACTGAAAATTAAGGTTTGCTATCACAGGAATAAATTACATTTAAAAATATATTACAAGTATATGAGTTTTATCTATTTTACTGATTACTGTTACTGTACTTTTGATAAACAAATTTACCCTTGGTGAGCATACAAATACATAAATAAAGCACTGACCCCAAACATCTGAACAGTAGTGTAAATTATATGTAAATTATACACTGCCCGTCCCAAAAAAAATCACCACCTGGATCTTGAATGATCGTGATCGGCGATCACTTAAACGTTTGGTGAAATCAAATCGTAAAAAAAACAACAGTAGAACTCACGGCTATGTTTAATAGTGAAAGTAAGAGCTATTATATAAAGAGCATTTCCACACGCACAATGCGAAGGGAACTCAAGGGATTGGGACTAAACAGCTGTGTAGCCTTAAGAAAACCACTTATCAGTGAGGAGCATAAAGATTGGACTCTGGAGCAATGGAAGAAGGTCATGTGGTCTGATGAGTCCAGATTTACCCTGTTCCAGAGTGATGGGCGCATCAGGGTAAGAAGAGAGGCGGATGAAGTGATGCACCCATCATGCCTAGTGCCTAACGTACAAGCCTGTGGGGGCAGTGCTATGATCTGGGGTTGCTGCAGTTGGTCAGGTCTAGGTTCAGCAACGTTATGTGCCCAAAGAATGAGGTCAGCTGACTACCTGAATATACTGAATGACCAGGTTATTCCATCAATGTTTTTTTTCTTCCCTGATGGCACGGGCATATTCCAAGATGACAATGCCAGGATTCATCGGGCTCAAATTGTGAAAGAGTGGTTCAGGGAGCATGAGACCTCATTTTCACACATGGATTGGCCACCACAGAGTCCAGAACTTAACCCCATTGAGAATCTTTGGGGTGTGCTGGAGAAGACTTTGCGCAGCGGTCCGACTCTCCCATCATCAATACAAGATCTTGGCGAAAAATTAATGCAACTCTGGATGGGAATACATTTTGTGACATTGCAGAAGCTTATCAAAACGATGCCACGGTGAATGTGTGCCGTAATCAAAGCTAAAGGCGGTCCAATTAAATATTAGAGTGTGAGACTTTTTTTTTGGACGGGCAGTGTATTTATTATTGTATTTATTACTGTGTATTAGTAAAATAAATGCAATTTTAATGATACCAAAGCTCATATTATAGGTGGTTTATAGCATGAAATATAATTTGTTTTTATTCAGTAGCAGCACAACATCCATACTGTGAATTGTTAAGGACGCTGGCCGTTTTTCTCTCCCCAAACCCTGAATAGATGATCTTGGAGGATTTGAGCTCATCCATCTCTCCAATGACAATGACCTGTACATCTCCATCTCGTCCCAGCAGCCAACTGACACTCTTGCCATTATCTACAAAGAGAGAGAGAGAGAAAAATAAAAGCAGAGAGTCTTAGTGGTAAGCCTACTTGAAACACAATAAGCCTAGATTAGTAATTTCATTTACATATTTAAAGATATTATCATACTTCAGAATTATTTATTCATCATGTTTCCTGTTCTTATGAATGTACTCAACCATAACAAGATTAAATATGTTAAAAGGAAGAAATATTGAAAAACATTTTTAGGCTGCTTATTGGATAAATAAAGCTAAACGATATTTCCTCACTACACATTCCTTTAAGAGAAGCTAATTAACTACTTGCCAAGTCTTTCCTTAAAATGGTGCAGCCAAATACAGAGTTATACAACATGAGATACAAATTGTTACAATTTGAAAAATTAAGAAAGGTGACTTGTACTGTGTAAGAGATTGAAGAAAAAGTCTGACAGAAAATAAGGAAACCCTCCCATGATGAACTGGTTCTTCTTGCAGGCCTTATGGCAAAACAACAAGATTCCAGTTGAACAGCCTGACTAACACGCTCGTGATCCCAGTCAAGACAAAATAAAATAATAAAATAAAACGAGGCTCATCCACTGAATGCTTAAAAGGTATAAAACATATTTAAAAAAGTGCTGATTGGGACCAGCTCATTTAAGCCATAGAAAATATGGTCTTGGACTCTTCATTTTTTTATCCATGTTGGGCCTTAAAGAGGTGATGACAACAAAACTGCAACTTATAATAGAGATAAAGTCTATGCAGCAGTTTAAGACTGAAACCTTTTTACTCAAAACCTTATACTTAACATTTAACATGTGCTACTAGCCCTGGTCTCTCCTTTAACATACACTATCGTTTAGTTTGGGGTCGGTAAGATTGGTTAAATGTTTCTGAAAGAAGTTTCTTATGCTCACCAAAGCGGCATTTATTTAATCAAAAATACAGTCAAAACTGTAATATTGTGAAATTTTATTAAAACTTAAAATAACGGTTTTCTATTTCAATATATTTTAAAATGTAATTTATTATTTGATGCAAAGCTGAATTTTCAGCAGCCATTACGCCAGTCTTTAGTACCACATTATCCTTCAGGATTATATGCTGATTTGCTGCTCAAGAATTATATTGTTATATGTGACCCTGGACCACAAAACCAGTCTTAAGTCGCTGGGGTATATTTGTAGCAATAGCCAACAATACATTGTATGGGTCAAATTTTCAAATAGTTGTATCTCAGCCAAATATTGTCCTATCCTAACAATTTATTCAGCTTTCAGATGGTGTATAAATCTCAATTTCAAAAAATTGACCCTTATGACTGGTTTTGTTCTCCCTTTTTCTTCCTCCTTAGTGTGTTTTGAGCGCCTGCGTTTCCTGTATACTTCCTGCTTTGTTGGCAGTTATCTGTATGAGGGAATGGAACTTGGCCTGGCTGACATTTCTTTTCTTGCTCTAAAAACTGGGTCAGTAACAAAAGTGTTTCCTCTGCCTTGTGTAGCCTGCTCACTCAATGCAAGGGTCAGAATGTCTCCAGAGACTCCCTTTATTGTGTTATTTTATTATGGCATTGTACTTTTGTGTGACAGAACCTTGAATGACTTTTTGAAATTTTATCCACTTTGCTAACAGACACCATGGTCAATAGGACAGGGTTGCACAGAAGCAGTCAAGATGTTGTATCAGTATGTCTTGTGGAAACCATTGACCTGCAAGAACAGCTGCTGTTGTCTCAAGGAGATAAAGGACTTGCTGTTCTCCTCTGAGGTCTGAAACTCAGGGACCTGATAATAACTGCTTTGTTATTGAGCAAAGACGACTTCCTCTTGGAGTTACACACGTCAACCTAAATTATTGCATTGAACTTCCTTATAAACCCAAAGGGAATGGCTATACAGTGGCACAAAAAAAAGTTTCTGGACACTTAAAACTTTCATTGCATTGCAATATTTTTACTTCATTGACTAATCTAGTTTAAGATGATCTGTCAAAGTTCTGGCTCTTCCAGTAACAAAGCCGATATGCCAGATTCCATAAGCCCTCTGTACGTCTAACCAGTTTAAACGGGTGTAACTTTGGCTAAGCAACGTAAAGTTTCATTTTTCATTCTTTTGTTTAATTTTTCGCAGCTCTCGGTCTCTTTTACGGTTTTTCAGATACCCTCTCTCTCTCAGATGCATTCCTCTCATATCTCAGCGGTTTACTCCTCCCTCTTACCAGCTGTCCTCCTCACGGAAGTCTCGTCTCTGTGATGTCTGTGACCTTCAGTGTTAAAAAGTGGTGAAATTGAGGGAAAAACCCTCATGTTGTACGTAGTTCTTGTTTACGGTGTTTCAGTGTCACACTGAGGAGATCCTTTAACTAATATGAGATTCTGATAATATCGGTCAAGACAATTGTCTATTGACGCCTGGACACCTTCTTAAACTTGTCTGGTCTTGTGTCTTGTCAGTGACGTAGATGTTCCCAGTGGCAGCATCAATCACAGTAGCTCTCAAATATTATTACTCTTGTGTTTCAGAGCACTTTCTGTTGTCCAAACATCTGTGTCCACCTCTGTGAACCTATTCTGAAGATGTTTTTCCGTGAAGTCTGCAGTACCACAGTGGTAATGAGCTTTCAGCTCAGCTATTCGGTCCTGACTCAGTCATGTGCCACATTAAGATTCTGACTAAATTAAGTCATTTAAAGCCAGCAATAAAAAGCCAGAGCGGTTTTCTGTGGCTTACAGATGTGGGAATGGTAAACGCACTGATGAAAGATTTGCATTAGTAATTCAAATGTCCCACATTCAAACCTCAGGATGTTGTAGATCTTTAATCTAGACAGATCCTGGTGAGTTGCATTATGACCATGGTGCAAAAGAACTTTAACTTCAGGATGACTGTTCTTTTAAAAAGTCAACTGCATGTCTCTTGCAGAATTGCCATACTCAGTCGAAAAGGATCATGTCTAAATCTATGATCTGCTTAAATTTTGTTTTGTAATTTTATAAGGCGTTTTAATGATCTACCCACCACCTTGTCAATTTAAACTCATGACTTTTTTTTTTTATGTGGAACAAAATGTCAATGCTGTTTTTCCCCATACAATTAAAAATGCTGGTCAATGGTAAAAAAAAAAATTTAATTAAAAAAATGTAATTTAAAATTTATTTATTAAAAAAATTTATAAATAATAATAATAATAAAATTGTATGGAAAAAGGGAATAATAATAATAATGTTATTAATATTATTAAAATTATTAATACACTACAATTGCAACTGAACAAAATACAACTAAAAGCCAACTATAAATAATAATAATAATAATATAATACAATATAAAAAATAAACCTGATGGTCAGGATTTTACCGTTCTGTGCTAGGAGGATTTTCTGATGGTCAAAAATAAAAATAATAATAATAATAAATAATAATAATCTTGCTAAATGATGAATAAAATGGTCTCATCCAGGAGTAAATATACAGAGGAAATATTGTAGCACTGATTAAACTATGTTTAAATTAAATACATAAAATTGTAAAATTTATTCTACTGTATTAAAAGTTATTAAAGAACTCACTTCAATAAGATGCATAGATCACATGACATATCTGCTTTAGATTTAAATGGTGCTATATAAACCCAGTGCCCACCTGTCTTTGGTTTGGGTTTGAGCGGTGCCCTCTCCAGCTTCTCTTCTCGCTCCTTCCAGCGTCGCACCTGCTCCTCGCGCATCTTCAGGAAGAGAGTCTTCTTCTGCTCGTCGTTCAGAGCGTCCAGCACATCCGGGTCGATGTACATGTCGTTCAAGATCTGCTGCAGCATGGCCGTGTGTGTGGTTCACCTGATTATATCCTGAGATTCAGCAACAGTCCTTCAGAACGAGGATGATGGTGGTAAAGACGATGAAGCCCAGCTCGGTCCGTTCACCACACACAAGCTCTCATCACTAATTAGCAGCCATAAACGGGACACGCTGTCAGAAGAAATGACAGATTACAACATCTGGAAGCAATCTGATCTCTTTAATGGTTTGTTTGCTCTCTCTCTTCCTGTGCAGCTTCAGACATTTTGTGTGTCATGTGAAATGAGAAGTCAAAAAATCTTTTAGTTTATTTGTTAATAAGCTTTAAAACTGCTTTCAGGGTTTTCAATTTGGGTGCATCAGAAAATTTTAATGATCATTTATTTACAAAAATAAGCTTTTTTAGGGTTGTCATATATGTTACCCTGGACCACAAAAGTCACCCTGGGTCAATTTTGTTTACATTTGAGATTTATACATCATCTAAAAGCTGAATAAATAAACTTTCCATTGATGTATGGTTTGTTAGGATAGGACAATATTTGGCAGAGATACAACTATTTGAAAATCTGGAATCTGAGGGTGCAAAAAAATCTAAATATTGAGAAAATCACCTTTAAAGTTGTCCAAATGAAGTTCTTAGCAATGCATATTACTAATCAAAAATTAAGTTTTGATATATTTATGGTAGGAAATTTACAAAATATCTTCATGGAACATGATCTTTACTTAATATCCTAATGATTTTTGGCATAAAATAAAAATCTATAATTTTAACCCATACGATGTATTGTTGGCTATCGCTACAAATATACCCATGCGACTTATGACTGGTTTTGTGGTATAGGGTCACATATATACACACATATATATATATATATATATATATATATATATAGAAAAAGTAACACTGACAACTTAGTACAAAGATTTCAAATAATAAAGAATATTTTAAATGCTTTAGTATAATTACATTATAAAATGCGATTATTTTATTTATTACATATGCTGTCTTTATAATACCACACTTTTTTTCCCCCTCACAGAGTATAAACCGTTTTTTTACACATTAAAATACGCAGCAGGCTTTGTAATTTAGTAAGGGGCTAATATTATATATATTATAATAATATATTTGGGGGTCAAAAAGTTAAGAAACCTCTGCTAAAGAGCATATTTTTACTCAAACACATGGTCTCCCAGCTCTTTTTAGGCCTGACTGAGGGGATTCCTCAGGAACAGGGGTTCGCTTCTGTCATAAGCAGATCCCCCTCCTTTCACAAGACATGCTCTATTTTAAAATTGTCTTATTTTGGCCACAACTGAGCTTGCATGCTGTGACCTCTTTAGGAGAAACGACGGGCGTCCACAACTAAAAAAGCCTGAGATTACATCATACCCAAAAAAGTACCGCAACAACAGCAACGGTGACTGAGACAAAAAAAAAAAGTCTGCCTGCCTGCCTGCCTACACATTTAACAGACTGCAGTTAACGTCTAGATATGGCGGCAAACAGAAAGAAAGTTGGAAAGAGAAGAAAAAAAAGCCTGTGTGTGAAGGAAAATGTACTCACAGCTGGGTGCGGACGCTCCACGGCAGACTTTACTAAGAGGGAGAGTGAGTGCTTGTGTGTCCTTCTTGCCTTTGTGTATGACTTAACTGGTGACATCACAGCATTCCTTAGTCTCTCTCTCTTTTCTTTTGCTCTCTCTAACAAACGTACATTACACACTGTCCCTTGCCTTCACACAAACACACACTTCCTTTCTGTTCCTGTAACTCTCTCAGGCTGGAGGGAAACTCAGGAAGCAGACCTCAGCTGTTGGCACTGCAAACGAAGTACTGTAGCAGCATCCTGTTTAACAGAGACAGAGGCGGGAGAGAGTTTGGGAGAGAGGAGGAGGGGCGGCTGAAGGAGAAGAAGAAAATGACACAGAACTTCATCACTCAAGCAAAGGAATTTACAGAAAAACACTTAAGAGGATGAGTCGATCTTGACATTACTCAGTGCATTTTCAGTGCCAAAAATAAAACACAACTGCACGCTATGTGGCAAGTAATAAGGCACTTCCTCTTTCAGTGAAATTCTCCCAATGATTACATATAGGCTACTGTAACAAAACTCCCCTTTGTTATTTTCTTATAAATCTTTGTTTCCTGTAAATTAACATACAGGAAGGACACTGATTTACAAGCTTAAAGACTTTGCTAAAACACCCTTCAAGTAAAATAAAAAAAGACATGGTCAACACTGTTTTCAAACACGCATTGCTTTAATCTAATCTCACACCAGAGGGCGCACAAGTGCCAGAAACTGTCTTTTTTAAATCTGTACTATTTATCAGAAATAGTTTTACTGCTGTAATGAGTGCAGTGATACTCTAGGTTAACTAATAAATAAGTGATTCTTTGTTTTGACCGCACACATTTCCAGTCATATTTGACATGCATCCAGCCACTCTGGAATCCAGCTTCCCTTGTTTTTAATCTTATTCTTCTCTCTCAGTTCTTATTGGATACATTGCAGATGACGGTTTTTAATTTGCAAATGTGTACTGAGAGTCGATCTTGACATTACTCAGTGCATTTTCAGTGCCAAAAATAAAACACAACTGCACGCTATGTGGCAAGTAATAAGGCACTTCCTCTTTCAGTGAAATTCTCCCAATGATTACATATAGGCTACTGTAACAAAACTCCCCTTTGTTATTTTCTTATAAATCTTTGTTTCCTGTAAATTAACATACAGGAAGGACACTGATTTACAAGCTTAAAGACTTTGCTAAAACACCCTTCAAGTAAAATAAAAAAAGACATGGTCAACACTGTTTTCAAACACGCATTGCTTTAATCTAATCTCACACCAGAGGGCGCACAAGTGCAAGAAACTGTCTTTTTTTAATCTGTACTATTTATCAGAAATAGTTTTACTGCTGTAATGAGTGCAGTGATACTCTAGGTTAATTAATAAATAAGTGATTCTTTGTTTTGACCGCACAAATTTCCAGTCATATTTGACATGCATCCAGCCACTCTGGAATCCAGCTTCCCTTGTTTTTAATCTTATTCTTCTCTCTCAGTTCTTATTGGATACATTGCAGATGACGGTTTTTAATTTGCAAATGTGTACTGAAATCAAAATATTTTTATTCTCGCGGAGAAATCTGTAGCTATATGGAAATGTAGTCTGCATTTGCTTCGTTACGATTTCCAGTCATATTTGACATGCATCCAGCCACTCTGGAATCCAGCTTCCCTTGTTTTTAATCTTATTCTTCTCTCTCAGTTCTTATTGGATACATTGCAGATGACGGTTTTTAATTTGCAAATGTGTACTGAAATCAAAATATTTTTATTCTTGCGGAGAAATCTGTATATGGAAATGTAGTCTGCATTTGCTTCGTTACGGTTTAAATACTGAAGTTTAATCAACAGCGCCATCTACTGGTTTTCGAGGACCGGTCTGTTATGAGTGGACCTGAAAACATTGATTTAAAGGGATCGTTCACTAAAAAAGTAACTGTCAATTTTCTCACCCTCATATTGTTCTAAACTTCTATGACTTGGCCTACGTCTAAAAGGAGAAATTCTTAAGAATCATTACACGGCTCTTTTTAAAACAAGAACATGATAGGGACCATGTTGTCGCGTTAATCTAAATATGTAAAAATTCTAAGTCATTCAAAGCATTTGTTTAACACCACAGAAATTTTATTTTCTACTTACATTTTTCCACTAATGAAGTGCATAGTTTAATTAGCAATCATATTCAGATCCAAGAACACCTTGATGTGCAGCATCAAATGACACACACACACACACACACACACACAAATCTGAATATATGGGATGGAGAATAAGATTAGAGAGATGCAACATTCAGGAAACAAACAAACAAAACAAACAAACAAAAAACTAGATTTAAAGGGCTAGTCCACCACCACACCTTAAAATTCTATCACCAGATATTTGCTGATCCCCATTAACTTCCACAGTATGGAGAAAAAAAAATGCTATGTAAGTCAGTGGGGACCTACAACTGTTTGGTTACTCAAATTCATTAAAATTATTTTCTTTTGTGTTCAGCAGACGAAAGACATTCAAACAGGTTTGGAAAAACATGAGGGTGTGTAAATGACAGAATTGTCATTTTTGGGTAAACTATTCCTTTAACCCTGTTCATCAAACAATTTTTTTTTTTTTTTTGTTGCCCTTTTGGAGCTTGACTGCCCCAGCCTCTGGTTATATGAACTATACTGTTCTATGAACATTTTTGTCAAAAATGTACCTTTAAAAAATAATAATTATTATAAATTAGATAATATTAAAAAAAAAAAAAAAAATAGATTACTATTGTTATATGAACTATTGTAAACCATTGTTCACAATAGTTACTATACTATATACTGTATGAACTATTATGAATTATTGTTATAAAAGAGTAGCATCAAGATTTTTTAAATTTATATAATAAAATAAAACTAAAGAATAGTACAAAAATATATTTATTGCTTTGTTAACATTATTGTTTATTACTAAAACATTATTACCCATCTTCCGTTTATATAGTAATTTATATAATAACGAAAAATGTCAGCATCTATTTGTGCGCATTTCTTGCGTAATGCACAGTTACCATTACGTCATTGGTGCTTGTTGTTTTCCGTTGTTCTTTGAAATAGTCCCAATCTTTAATAACATTTCAAAACTACCACACTTATGCATCAGCTTAGACATAAATGTTTTGGAATGTTGGACTGTTATTTTCAACCTCAATCACATGTCCTTTTGCTCACAGCAAGGGGCAAGCCACAGAATAAAATCAAGTCTTTCATGCTGAATGGAAAAAGTGATCTGAAACTTGGAATCCATTTGTATAGTAAAGGACTGTTGTATTTTCATGAGCAAATTACTCATATCACAAGAATAACTAAATGAATATTGAATAGCTACTAAAACATACTAACTATGGGTTGTGTTATGCATGCCTGGTTATTTCTTTACAGACATAATGAGTAAATGATATTACTTATCTAGTGCATTGGATAACTTTTGGTCAAATACTAGCCTATTATAATTCTTGACAATTCAGCCACGAGATGGCGCACCTCTCAACAGACCAGATGAACAAAACTGAAGGCCTGTCAAAGGGACTTTATTAGATGCCTAAAAGAGACATTCAAGCAGTGCATTCAAACATTCACTCCTTCCAGCTTGGCAACTATAGTTCAGGCTTGTGCACATTGT